TGAGATCTGAAAAGCCAAGTTGTTCAGCCTGGCCAGGTGACTGTCTCCAGGGTCATTCTGAAGCACAGCATGGGAGCAGAGAAGGCTAATGGTTTGAGATTCTGCTGCTGGTCTGGAGTTTTCTTCAGGCCCTGAAGCCACAGTTGATTCTGGAGGGGGGTGGCTAGGGCTTTGCTTGCAGGGCTGTGGGGGCATTTGAGATGAATGGGCAGTGGAGGTGGGGAGGCTGCCTGGGAGTGGCAGAGGTCCAGGTCCAGAGATCAGGTGCACAAGCATGCACACACAAACACACACTAATGTACTCTTGTGCGTACACACACACACACACACACACACACACACACAGGGACAGGCTCCCACCTGTCCAGGGTTCCTCCCTGCTCTCGTGCTCATGATCTGTTATACTTTTCTTGTTTCTGTTACTGAGTGTACCAATGTGTTACTCCAAGAAGCAACACGAGAAATGTCTGGAAACGCCCCCAGTAAAAGTTGGTCATCTTCTCTAATTAGCCAGAGCACAAGGCAGTGTCCTCTCCGGGGAACTTCCTGCCCATCCAGTCCACATTTATTATGCCCCTACTGTGTGCCAAGCACTGGGGAAATAACTATGAAAAAAGAAAGCCAGTTCCTGCCCTGAAGGAGCTTACCATCTAATGGGAGGAGAAAAAAGGAGTCTGGAAGGGAGGAGTGAAAAGTGGGAACCCTTGGTGTGGTGCAGTCTTGTTCTGTGGAGGTAAAGCTTGTCAGAGCAGCAGGTGCAAGGTTGGGGGAGCCGGGAATCTAGTGTCTGCCCTCTCCAAAGGAAGGCTCTGGCAGGAGTCCGATTCTGCCTCCTACCCTCTGATAAGAGGGGAAAGAAGGCTGTAAGTTCTGGAATTCCCCTGGCTGGGGAACCCTCCACCTCCCGCATAAACATGGGGTGTTCTTTTTAATAGCAAAGGAAGAGGCCAGTGAGCTCAAGATTGATTTTAGGGAGTATTTTAATCAATTGTTATGAATACCTACAAACAGGGTCAATCTTTGGTCTGGGGCAGCAACCAGACAGTTTAGTAGAACCCCAAAAATCTCTGTGATGAGTATAGAAAACAGACAAAGGGAGAAGGAGGTAGACTGTGCATCCCCCCGATTGGTGGATAGATTTGGTTTTCTACTTAGTAATGAGCTTGGGTGTTAAGCCAATGTTGTGGCCAAACATAAGTTTGTGTTGATCATGTCTTGGTCCCATATAGGTCACAATATTCTTGTTTTGGCTTTCATAGGTCATCGTCTTAAGAAATAGTATTGTTATGACTCAATGTCTAAAATATAATTTAGTATCTAAGTTACAAATTGTAAACAGGTTACCATGTTTGGGCTTCCACCTTTCACAGAGTTTAAGTTTGTTTGGCTTTTCACTTATTACTGTTTTATAGACAGGAGAGTGCACACACAGACACACAGATGCACAGACACACACTCACGCACGCACACACTCATGCACTCAGACACATGCACACACAGACATGAGAGTACACACACATGTGCACACGTGCATGCGCACACACACACACAAACAGGCACCCAGTTGCCCATGGTGCCTCACTGCTCTCCTACTCATGACCTACAGGATTCTTTCACCCTCAACTTGTCTCTGGGCCTGCCTGCACCAACATGTCTGGGTGTTGTGTCATGGGCCAAGGAATGCCCACACACCACATACCAGCACCTGGACCTTTTCCCCAATAGGAACCCTAGAGTCCACTGCTGAAAAGCCACCCATACATTCTTTCTGAATATCTTCTACAGTGTCCCTGTGGCCGCTCTATTCTAGGGTGGCTAGGGCCTATTTGGGTCCAGCCAGGATGATCTCATTTCTAAGCATAAACCATGTAAGCAATACAAGGCCAGGTAGGAAAACAACATGGCCAATGAGAAAATGCCCACACTTATTACAATTTCCTTCCATCTCATCCCTGGGGAGGTGAAGGAAGAACCAATGGCATTTGGGGTTTAAATGAGTGAGCTGAATTTCTGATCTTAACCTAGGACAGGCCAGCTGAGTTTGTGAACTGGTTTCAGACAAATAAACATGGCTTGGGCAGTTTTACAGCATATTGGAGTGACAGAGAGTAGGATCAATTACAGAATGGGATCAGAACAATTAGAATTTCTCACTCTTTTTGTGATGCGGAGACTTGTACAATGATGACCATCGACCCATCCCCAGTGTCCACTTAATTAACAAATTTTATCTTGGAATCCAAATCCAAATCCAAACTACCCTACCTAGTTGTCTGGTCTCTGGAACATCTTATCGGGGGGTCATCTGGAAAATGTCTTGTCCTCAGGAGCAGGTCTTTAGTAGAATTGTTTTTCTGATTCCAGGTTGCTTGTAGAGACTCCTTAGATGTTCCTGCTAAAATCTTTTATAAAACAGATCTCAATACAAGTTAGTATAGACTCTCAAATTTCACTTCTCCAATAACTGGCTCATATTGTGAAGACCAGCTCAAACCTTAGAGTTCTGGTCTTAACAATAGAGCTATCAGGGGGAACATCGAAGCAGCAACCTAGAGATTGCTTGAGGCTTCAGAAAATTTAGGTTTTTTTTTTACAAGCAACATTATACTCACTTACATTTGACAATGCAGGATTGTCTGATCTTGTTACTTTCTCAAACTTTTCCACTCTAATTATTCCATGAGAAGGAGCAGATGTAATTGAGGCTTCAATGCTGGATGTCAAAACATAAGTAACAACATTCTTGCAGAGAGAAGCTTTTCACTCCTGGGTTCAATAGTTATACAAATGAATTACTTATAAAAGAATGACTTTACTCAAATATAATAAAAGATTTGGGAAGATACTTAAACAATTAATTCCAAAACAGTACATATCAGTAAGTTGTTTGTAATAAAACACGTTTGTAATTACAGGACGCACAGTACAGCAGCTGTTATTTCCACATTCGTAATTAACTTATCAGAGAGACTGGTTGTAAAAATTCTTCCCCAATTTTCTACCTTCCTTCTAATCTTAGTTGCATTGGCTTTGTTTGTGCAAAAACTTTTCAATTTAATGCAATCAAAATTATGCATTTTGCTTTTCGTAATATTCTCTGTCTCCTGTTGGGTCATGAATTCTTCTGTTCTCCATAGATCTGATGGGTAAACTATTCCTTGCTCTCTCAGTTTTCTTGTAGTATCAACCTTTATATCCAAATCATGAACCCATTTTGACTTTATTTTGGTATGTGGTGTGAGATTTTGGTCTATGCCTAGTTTCTGCCATACTCTTTTCCAGTTTTCCCAGCAGTTTTTTTTCAAAGAGTGGGTTCTTATCCCAGAAGCTGGGGTCTTTGAGTTTATCAAATAATAGATTACTATAGTCATTGACTACTTTGTCTTGCACACTTAACCT